ACCAACTGATTCAGACTGGAACAGCTGCTTTCACGGCAACTCTCATTCACTGGAGTTTTTCACTACGGTTCACTAGTTCCTTTTGAAGAGACAGCTTACTCCTGGTCTTGAAAACATCTCTCTTGGCATATCTCAAGTTTTTCTCGCAAAAGTGCTTGTTTGCTAGGGTTGAAAAAGTTGCCATGATTCCTTGGTTGTTTCAAATTGATTCTTGAATTGTGTGGCGTTATGCTTTTTAATTTCTGATGCAGCGAACGTGATTCTACCTTCATGGACGCCATCACAATTACAACAGTTCTCTTTCACGCTATCTTCGATACAGTTGGAATCCTGCTCAACTTAATACTATTATATCTGGTGCTCTTCCGGACTCAAAGTCGTTTTGGAGTATACGCCATATTGATAGGAAACGCCGCAATCACAGATTTCATAGCATGCTTCACATCATTGCTTGTTCAACAACGGTGAGAGCAACACTTTATCCGGACATATTCCTCATTGACTTTTATCGAATTATTGACTTTCAGGGTTATTCCTATAGGAACGAGTTTGATATACATTTCACATGGACCTTGTTGCGTGATAGGACCAGAATTCTGCTTCATAACGTATGCTATTGTTTTCTTTATTTAACTGTCTTGTAAACCAACCTAAGGATCGGCCTAAGCTCACAATTTCGAAAGTCTAAAACTACGGAGTGCGGTCTATTTACCATCTGTTATGGTCTAAAGGGTACAATACCGCTGTGGTGTGTGAAGTTGCGGTACTGATACGACCTCTTCCGTAACTTCCTCGTCTGGTACACCTATCGCTAGCGACCAAGTGCGGACAGCCTCATGAGATCCTCCCAATTAGACTGCCCTGTCTGTCACCGCTTTTGAGATGTGTCAGAGCAGCTTGCCTATGTTGAATTTAAGCGTCACCGCAGCTGATAGTGGGAATTCACACTGAAATGTGAGATATTCTGGGTAGTGCGCTTAGAGCGATGTCAGTGTGCCAAGCAGTCAATGGTGGAGAAAAAAACAAGAACGGTAGCAAATGTCTCCAAATGAGAGCTCTAGTCAACGAAGTTGTACGAGGCGATTGATGTGGTCGGACTATCACCGAGCGAGTGGTGTCGTGGCCGATACGGTCGCCCAATTAATCACACCCAATTCCTTATTGACATCAATGTCCCTGCCTATTTCCTTTAGCAGGTCTTCTGTTGTTATTGCTGAAAGAGCGCTGGGCGAGGCCGATGAAAGCTTGTCGGTCAGTCTTCCTTCACTCACTTCTGCGCCACGGAAATGATGCAGCGGCTATCTCTTCGCATCACGCTAGTTGCTCATGAAAGGAAGCGGTAAATTTGAGTTGACGGCGAGCACTGCATGGGCGCCAGTCATTAGGTACGTACCGTCATGCTTGCCATGGAAAGACCTCAAGTTTCCGCTGAACCTTGGTTGAATGGAAGGACCGTCCGGTATGTAGGATTGTACTACGCTATGCAGATTCAAAATCGCACACCTGAACACAAAGCGAGCGCCTGTAAGAATGTGGGTATCGTTCTTCATTGGCCAATGTAGCCCGAAGCGAATTATCAGATTGCTTACAATTTACGTACAGTGATGAAAAAAAAAACTAAAACGAGCTTCGGAAATTCAATTGTTTCAGTGTAAGTTCTCCTATCAACAATTATGTTAGGATAACCTAAGAATACAATGAACTAATTATGAGATTATGATATTAATAATTGGGGCACCTGCTATAGCCGATGCTATAAGTTATCAGTAGCTGTGAACCTAGTGTGGCTCAAAAATTCTTGCTTTCAGATACTGTGTAATGGTCGCTACATATACGCACTCGCTATACTCCTTGCTTTTCTCATTTTACTTTAGATATTATGTATTGAAATACCAACAGCCATCGGCTCGTGCCGCTCAAAGTTGTTTTTGCCTCCTTCTCGATATTATCATTCATCAATTTGTAGGTACTTGAAAAACAACTTACAAGAGCGGAAAGATTGCAGTCATGCGAAATCTTACTTCTATTACTGTTTTAGATCAATGGAGTTTTGGCGAATCAACCTGAATCAGAGGTGGTTGTGGTCCTGATGCAAGAGCTGCCGCAATACAATATCGTCAATGCCACCATATCTGGCCATACGAACGTGTTTGAATGGAAAACATTGATTGCAATACTACTTATGGTCCTGCCCATTATGCCTGTAGCTGCCGGTGTTTTATTACTCAGAAGACGAATAATCGCCATGCTTGCGATGCTTACCATGTCGGAAAATACGAAATCTATGCACAAACAACTGCTTGAGGTATGCTTTCTGGCCAATTGTAAGTTCGTCCAACCATGTTGCTAGGCTTGAAAACACCCTCGCAACAGCGCTCATTTCTATTTAGCGTTATTCATTTATTCCATCTAATAAAACCCACTCCCTTTCCTAATACCTCACCTTATGCGGGGTTACGCTGGCTACCATAGTTAGATTAGTACAGCGTATAACAATTGGCGCCATCGTCATTTTAGGCAAACTGGTAGTAAACTTGAAGGCATAATGCACGACAATGTGGTGCTCGGGCTAAGACGCTAGCATGGAACAATTTAATGGGGAAAACGGTGGAAAAGCAAAGTGAAACTGTCAAAACCTGCGAGAAAAGCCAGCCTTTGTTCTACACGTTCGGACGATATCGACGAGTTTCCCGCCAGAATAGCAGTCCAACTGTCCTAATCGTCTTACGCCTAGATACGGTTTATGCATAGCACCTTATATCATGCTGCCGCAGTCGCTCATATCAACCCCTTCGCTTACCAATTGTACTTCGCCCAATGCATGAAGCGATTATGAGCATCAGTATTGTTCGGACTTGTGGGATTTGCAGACGCAGAGGCATCTGCATCTGTTACTATTCCAGCTCATAGAACCTCCTTGGCCTCCGCTGCGAAAAACTTGCCATGCGCGTTGTGACTTACGTTTTGCGCTTTTACTGTGGTACTTGCTTAAATGCAATTGGCACGATAAATCCCCAAGACGTGTAGGACTGATACGCCTAGCAGGACAGAATTCGGAGCCCCGTGCACGCCCTGCGTCAGTCAAAAGCGGAGGAGGGGAAGACCCACCCGGGCTTGCATGCGGCGCGGTTTTGACGTCACCGCGGAGGGGAGGGCGAAGCGAAAGGCGATGGCCTGCACCCGCGCTCCTCCGCCACTGTGCTCCAATCAGCAGCCGCTTTTATGTGGAAGGAAAAAGAGGAAAATAGAGAGAGAAAGATGATTGAACAGATAGTGGATGCTTACAGGTGAGTTAGTGGTAGTGGTGAGAGAATACAGAAAAGTCGACTATCAGGGCGAATTACTTCAGCAAATGGCGAAACTGGCGAAATAGTTCCCATCGATTACCATTACCGTTGTAAAGTCACATCCAACTGTTGCCAAACCTCACCTTAGACGTTTGCGTAAGAGCTGTTTTCGTTTTCACAATCGAAGGGAACTATTTCGCCAGTTTCGCCATTTACTGAAGTAATTCGCCCTGATAGTCGACTTTTCTGTATTCTCTCACCACTACCACTAACTCACCTATAATTCTGTTCTGAATTCTGTCCTGCTAGGCGTATCAGTCTTACACGTCTTGGGGATTTATCGTGCCAATTGCCTTCAAGCACTGTACGAACGTAAAGCGTGTGAAATTTATGGGAAAATGTACTTTCAGTTACTGTTATAGGTCATAAATACATAACTGTTATATGATATAACATCTATTTTCCATTCTCCTTGGTTTTAATTTACTTAAGTTGCTGTCCAGTTTAGGCGCTGACCTATCAGGCGTTGCTGCCTAGTCTACTTGTCATCGCGCTTATTTCGTACCTATGTGGACAACTGGGATTTTATCATCATCCGCTCGTGGAATCGATCACATTCTTCAGCACTAGTGTATTTCCTGTATTTAGCCCTTTGATGAGCTTGTATTTCATCGTACCGTACAGAAAGACCGTCCTGAATGTTTTTGTGCGAGCTAGGAAAAGGGTATCGCAAACCGCTGAAGGGGAATGAATTTCCACAAGTTTGATATTGGTTTTCAGCGCTGTACACTCGAATTATAAGGCACTCTGGCATGACGAGCCAATGGATTTGTGGGAACTGTGTGCCCTTGAATAGGTGGAACTTCTATCAAGCGTGGTTTGCAGCACGAATGGTAGCGGGCGGGTGGCGGGGGGGGGGGGTGGGAGTGAGGAGTAGGGAAGCAAAAAAAGCTACAGGACTGAACAGCAATGTGCTAGGTTGGAGGTGAAGTAAATTTGTACTCAAAATATTATTGACTACAATCATGTCTCAGAATAAACTAGAAATATCCGCGGATTGTTGAGTGAACATTAAACGGCGTAATTTTGCAGAGTCGGTACAGCAAGTAAGATGGCAGTAAGACTCTTCGTTATTTTGGATTGAATCTCTTAAAATTTGTGCTGTCCGCTCTGTTAAAGTCCTTATCCATCGCATTTTCGCAAGTCTCACTTTTTTTATTGCATGTCGCTATAGCCTGGAGATCTGAATTCTTGCTGAAACTTGATGCGCAGAGGTTCATCAGAGCTACATAATGAATATAAATATAATAAAAAACTCATTTTGCTTGAGCTGGTGCCAATAAAGCAATTGCGGATAGCGTTCTCTTAATGAGTTTATGTTGGCTTTAGTTATAAAGCATAAGCCATTCCGAACGCAAAGCTGCCCTAGAACGTCAGCGCGAAAAAAGAGTCACCTATATTATGGGTTATCATTTCGATGTAAAAATTGTTCAGTAAAGCAAGGTGCAGTTCGGCTTGGTGAGGATATATGACGAGAGCCTGTAAAAGAGCCTATGTGATGAACTTAATATTGTAAACCAAGGGAGCCATTCTACCATTTCAAGTTTCGCAGCGAGTTTACTGGTCTATGAAATGGAAGCTATGCAGTTTAGGAAGCAAAAGTTAGTAAAGTGCTAATGCCCCACATGGCCGAACTGATGCAAAGTCAGATTTGGACTCTGGTGGCAATCTTCACTTCTGAAATGGCTCAGGCAACGCGTGTCTTTCATTTATCTGCCAGCATAGGCAGTAAGTACGATTACAGATTTTATCGATTTCTTGTAATCCAGTTGCTGGTAGCAATTGAACTTTCACTGTCTTACTAATTTATGTCATACTGTATTATATGTTTCTTCGTGGCAATAAGAGAGGTTTACGCAACAGAGGCATGAAGCTTAGCAGAATAGTTTGTGGAGCGTGCTGTGTTAATATAGACATCATGAGTCTGAACAGAGAGCTTTGTGGAAGGCTTGTGTGTGTTAACTACCAGAACCTTGAAAGGTCAAAAAGTTCGAAGAAGTTCGAAAATGGCCAAAGTTGCGAAACACCTGGAAAAGTGGGCGCGGCCAGGAGCGGGGCCTACTGCGTCGGTTCATAGGCGAGTCCACGACTGCATTTGTTGTGTTAAAGGCAAAACCCGCGATCATTCGCCATCACAGATAGTGGATTAGGGGTTCGCATATAGACGGCAAGGTGCTGAGTAACTCGATAGTGAAGAAAAAAAAAGCAGAAAAAAAACATGCCGCCTGTTCCAGATAGAACCCCATTTCGCTCCCAGTTTGTACGTGCGCAATGACTCCATCTCAAACACTCACTCTCATCCGCACAACTGATTCCCCGGCAAGAACTCTACGACCGTACAAGTGCGATTTTCATGCTTTTTCCTACGAAGCTTCGTTCTTCACTGAAAGGCAGGCCTTGAGCGGCGGAGTTTGGAGGCGGAGTCACTGGAAAAAAGGAGGCGTCACTAAGCCTATATTACTCGCCTCTCACTTACAATTTTTTTTGCCGCGAAACCGGTACAAGGTTGTTCGCCACGGACCACACTACCCTCCCGATGCCATATTTTCAACTTCTATACCTGATCGGGGACCGAGCCTTTACGAGTGAGTGGGAAAGCGATAACGTTGAACAATTATAGAAACTCGAAAGTTGCGGTGAATTGGCATCCTTACTGGAGGGTGTGCTACCATTATTACTGAAATCAGATGGGGCGTGTCAGTGGCGGAAATTGCGCACAGTTGATACGCCCCAACCGGCTTCAGTGGTAACGCCTCTATGTAAGAAAAAGCAAAAGTGCACAAAGCCACAAAAGCAACAGACGTGAACTAAACCATGATCCCGCTAGAAAGTGAGCGTGGCTATGAGGCCGGAGGCTTGCGACGGTCTCCGGTGTCGTAAGGGATGCTGAGGATAAAGTTGCTCATGAGAGAGTTCCATCGCTTCACGAAAGATTCACAAGCCAGAAAAGTGGCCTATTAGGGATACTATGAGGTCACGGGATCCTCACAACGAGAGTACGCAAAAAGAACCCGATTGCCGACGACGTTTGATGAACCAAAGAGGCATTCACAAAACATCTGGTTTTCTCAATGCCCATGATTATAGTAGAAGTATGGTATCGAAAACGAACTGCAATGATAATTACCTCTTCATCGAGTAATGCTATGGAACATCCCATATGTATAACCATAACAAGAAGGTCGACAAGACCTGCATTGCATTTCACTCTTCTCTCACTCCTTACTTCTCTCGTTGTGCCAATAGTACCTCTATCTAGGGGCTGGCTGAGGAAAGCAATCGTTTTACGGCTCTTTTAACATCGCGTTGCATGCAAAATTCAAATCTAACTACCCTAGTTACGGCAGCTTATAGGTATTTGGCACTATAGTTGGGTACACGGGCTAAAATGCTAGCAGGTCTCTATACAGTAAAAATATGGCGAAAAAAGGGAAATGATCAAAAACTGGACTGCGACATAATGACAAAAAATCCATTTGGAACCGCTACGGTAGATACGGCTGCATGTATGTACTCATATATCCATGCAGCACCGCAGCCGCTTCATATCAATCCCTTCGCTTCATATTGTACTTCGCAAATGAAGCAATACGAGCATCAGGTACGGTCGTCCATTTGTGGTGGATGCAGCTCAACGACTGATTCTGGCATCACACAGATTCCCCCAGAAAAAAGTAACAGGAGTTACGCTATAGCCAAAAAAAGAAGAAAACTCGGATCGGCCTTTTTACAACATTTTTTGAATATTTACAGCGAGTGCTGTGCTTTATACCGCGGACTGTGGCGAAGTTTCTGATAGAGCAAACCTCCACTCACATCCAGGAGGACTAGTGTGACCAACAAAGAAAACATTGAGTTTCAAAAAAGTCCATATCGCAATAAAACAATTGTATAGCTTCTGTAACCGATTGATTGAAATTAGTTGTTATGATTAATAAACATCCATTCGTTTGAGTTTATTCGGGATAGCACAACAACAACAACTGAGCAATCGATAACCGTAGGACCATGCAGCGCTATTGACCTTTCACGACACTATTTTCCGAAACATAGAAAGAAAGTCATGGTTACTCAGTGGTCTGGAAACTTTTGGCACTGTTACCCTACAGTAAAGTAATTATCCAGCTAAGGAAGAGGCATGTGAAGGGCGTGGATTGATGCGCAGCCGAAACGGCCCTGACTACTAACCGATGCAATCTGAGGCGGGCCCCTTCACACGCCTTCTCGCCTGCACGGATAACTGCTGTACCTCTGATGGCAAACTGTGACCAAATCTACCTCCATGGAGAAATGATTGAAACCGATAGAGGAATGCTAGCCTATACTTGGATAAGGACATGAAGGGCTAATAGCGCCAATCGAGGTCACTATTCAAAGAGAGCTAACAAACATCATGGAATGAACAATAGATTCAAATACTCGAAGGCATAACCCGCTCAAAAATCGATCAGAACTACAATTAGGAAACTTATGCAGGAATTTTCATGTCATTAATGAGATGACAGGCAGACTAAAAGTTTCACTGTTAATACTGACAACATAGACCAGCAACGTATCGAACCGTGATAAAAATGACCTATACAGGTTCTTTAAAATAGGAAGAAGAACCTATCGCCAGTCAAAGGCAGTGATGCCGCCGTGCCAAGTTAGATGTAGTTATAACGTCGCTCAACGAGGGCGGTGTTAGAAGGAGCATAGTGAGCCTACCCTCGGCTGCCTTGCTCTTCCAGTTGTGATTGGTAAGTGATCGGTTTAGCACGAAAACCATCAGTGGGGGAAACGCGAGGGGCGGACGCATTTCTACCCCGATCGATTGCAACGATAGTGACTGTAGACACCATGCACTGTCGACCCGGCGGAGTGGCAGCCTTTCGGCAGTGAATGTCCAGAGGTGGAACCCTCATTACTTGTGATCACTTCATGTTTCCGCATAAATGATCTCTAGAAACGCAATATGGGCGATTGTGGAGAGTGAATTTGAGGGAGGTTAAAGCATCTTCTTCTAGTACTGTACTGTAGCACCCCCGTTCGAAGCAATTAGATCCGCCCTTCATAAGACGTCGTTTGCACAGTTGCCTTCACACCTTCAAACCGAAGCGGTTTCCAGCGCATGATATCTTCAAGGATGACTTAAGGTACACTCCTGGTGGCAGGATTCTCTTCTATTTTACGCAATGAAAGAATATAGATTTTTTTTCTCCGTCCAACTACTTAATTACTAAGTATTCGAGGGCATTTGTATGAGAGGCTACTTAGACATAAAGTATACGAGTGCGATTACATGAGTAAGAATCACGTAAGGTTGAAAATTCTTTGGAATTACTCTCGTTCAAAATTGAAGATCGTCTGAGGAAGAAGGCCCATCGTAGGCGATCACGATAATGTCGTACGAAATAGAGCGATGAGATTGGACTGAAGGTGGGGATGAAACCAGCTAGAATGAATGTCGCGTGTTCGAGCAGTGGATGATTATAAATACCAAGCTGGCCACAAGCATATGAAAGTACTGCTAGTAGATAAAACAGCGGCAGGAGTGCTTGCCACGTAAGAGCCTGAAATTCGGATAATCTGTAACAGAAATGAGGAGCCTTGCTGCGAGAATAAGGGGGAGTGGGCCTGATAATACGAGGAGGGGGAGACCCTCTACAGTTATGTGCACAGACGCCAGACGGAGATTCTGTGCCCTGGTGACCAATATGAAATCCATTTCGGGCGCTGGCGCTATTCGGCGTTGTTAGGCTCCAAAACTAGCGCACCAAGATTTTTCCAAGATTGATATAAACCAAAGCCGTTTGGCGTTGACGCGGGAGCGAACCCAGCACAACGATTTCCCCTGCCTATTCGTGAACTGTTTTGCACAAATGAAGGACTCCTCCACGAATACAGAGTTATAAATCGGTTTTTTCCTGCACCAGACTCATTTTAGTGCACAGCTCGCTAAATGGTTGAGTCAATGGAGAAGTAAATCTCTCTGCCAAAAGACGTGCGAAGATTTCCGCGGCTGCGAGCCTCGGCACTCGGCGCGTCGCGCGGAGAAAGAGACGCAGCAGCTATGGAGGCGCAACTTTGCAAGGGCCGATAGCTTTGCAGAATTTTAGCAAATTGATGCTATAAACAGGCGTACCATTGCGCATACGTTCACACAGAATTCATTAATATTGGGAATGTAATGATTTTTTGTAAATGCAACAACACGATATTTTTCAAGCGTTCAGAACGCAATTTCGGATAATAAACAGATACAAAAGAAATCAGATAAGGTATTCTCCCTATGTTTATGTGGTTCACATGATTTGCGCAGTCGCCAGCGTCAATATAATAGACGGATGGCCAAGTTTTTCTGTGAGCTGCTGTAAAAGATGACAAACCAGAGCAAATGTTAAAGACCCCAATGAATTTCGTGCTCTATTGAACTTTTTCATACTCTACTGAAAACTTAACCGTAACTGAACACAAGACTCGATCCTGGGTGATATCAATATTTACCTTCCCTTCAATAACCCTATTCAAACCGCCAGAAGCTTCGTCTTCTCGCCGCAAGTATGTCGCAGGCCACGCCCACCAGCTGCACCGGACGATTCTGTTGCTACACACCCCTCTACGGGCTGAGCCTTAGCAGGACGCTGAAGACCAGAGTGTACTACGTTGGCACTTGAGTTGGAATGATTATTATGAGTGTGATCAGGATGTCATACTGCCCTATTGTGCAAGTTTGTTTCACGCCAGAAGGTGCCGGCGCCAAAACGGATTCCACATTCGGACCACGGCATCGACTAAACCCTTCAAGGCAAAGTTCAGGATGGAGGTGAGTTCCAGGAGCAGTAATATGGTCTCATTCGCTGCGGATGCTGGGGTGTGTCAGGGTGGCTAGGTTTGGAGCAGCAGCAGCCAATTCTCCACTTATTGTGGTTGTCCGCCGCCACAGAACAGGTTGGCGCCGCGCTATGCCCAGCCTGCCTGACACGCCCGAGCGCGCTCAACGAACATGACTGCTCTTGACTAGTGCCACTCTATCTACAGTCTTCTAGAATCGAATGGTCGAAACAATTTACCGTGAGCAACTGACGATGCAAACTTCTCGTTTTTGAAGACATAACAGCCTCAACCAGATGTCGAATGATGCTTCTTCGTAAGACCAGAATGCATGCATAGACGGGCGTGAACTGGTACTGTCATATGCAGTATTGTGCCAAGTACTTTCCATTCAAAAACATCCGAGTTGCCCGTGACCGTGCGGCCGGTGATATTGTATTGTGGGTATTTCATTCGTAATAATGGTTCTATGACCTCAGGAGGTTCATAGGCGAAACTGAATATCACCTGCAAGAAGAAGGTTGGCAATCGTCACATGACATAGACAGGCTCAAGAGTCTAAGATATGACCAGTCGGCGCGCCTACCAGGAAGTCCGCGTTGTGGGCAAGGTACAGCATCGTTGTGTGAAACCCATAGGAAGGGTCGTGGTTTTGAGCTGGGAGGGGGGGGGGTCGTATGTGGCTTTGAGAGATATTTGTCGCCTTGGGATTTTTCCCGGTTGTTGACTTTTCGCGTGGTTTTCCCTGTTTTATGTGTACTATTAACTCCCCCCCCCCTTCCCTCCCTCTGGGCGAAAAAGTGGAAAATGGGGAAATTGGTAGTTAGGAGCTGGGAAAAGGGAGGAGTCGTACCAACACCCTCCCACGAGAGGGGGGATCGTACTGGCACCACCAGTTCACACATCACGATGCTGTACCCTGGTTGTGGGGCGCAGACAAATAGATCACGCAGATGTCACCATTCAATGAATCTCGGCATAGTAATAGAGGACCAGAGAATGTTCTACGCATATTCACAGGATTTTTGTCTCTTATTCAGTTTCGCAGCGGACGTTACTCGTTCGCATGTCACGCCGTTTTCGCCGCGCCACCGCAACTAGGATCTCCTAACCGGCATCCGATAGCCAAACATTTTGAGAGCTCCCTCTTTTCAGTACTTTTAGAATCGCCTAATTGAGAGGAAGTGGAGACAAAGACTCGCTATTTATCAAGAGCAAGAGCGTAGGACTATGCGAAGCCCAATAGTTCAGTGAAATGCGAAAAAGCCAACACTTCTTTTCTGGTCTCCACTCAAAACCAAGAGGCAGGAGGGAGCAGGAAGCGGGGAAAGTCATAATGCTTGCAACTATCCCCTTTTTCTGCTTCTCAGTTATTGGGTAATAAAATTCGGAAAACTCTCTCAACAGCTGGGTAACAAACGAACATTGCTAAAAATCGTACCATTTGTAGGAATGAGGGTATGTAGACGAGGAATATGATCAGTTTGACTCGATTCGTTGATGGTGCCTGGTAGTTGAGCACATAGTATCGAAATGAAAACGATAGTAACATACTGTAAAGAGTGTGGGCATAGAAGTGCAACATGACGCTGTAGCTGAAAATACAACGTTCTGTTAGCGTACTCGTGTATCCTATACAAATAGCGAAGTGTGCTTAGGGGGGAAGGGTGGTCCTGACACTGCTCAGAAGGGGCTTTTAACACGTTGGCGACATTGCGTCCCAATGCTGGTACGCACTTTTTTGCCGCGTGGGACATTGCTCATTACCAATTGACATTGCCAATGCTGGGATGCGTCATGGGTAAA